GATAAAGATAAGTCTGATAACGATAAAACTGACGATAAAGATGAGTCTGATAACAATAAAACTGACAATAATGATAAGTCTGATAACAATAAAACTGACAGTAAAGATAAGTCTGATAACGATAAAACTGACGATAACGATAAGTCTGATAACAATAAAACTGACAGTAAAGATACGTCTGATAACGATAAAACTGACAATAACGATAAGTCTGATAACGATAAAACTGACGATAATGATAAGTCTGATAACGATAAAACTGACAATAACGATAAGTCTGATAACAATAAAACTGACAGTAAAGATAAGTCTGATAACGATAAAACTGACGATAACGATAAGTCTGATAACGATAAAACTGACGATAACGATAAGTCTGATAACGATAAAACTGACAATAACGATAAGTCTGATAACAATAAAACTGACACTAAAGATAAGTCTAATAACGATAAAACTGACGATAAAGAAAAGTCTGATAACGATAAAACTGACGATAAAGAAAAGTCTGATAACAATAAAACTGACAATAACGATAAGTCTGATAACGATAAAACTGACGATAAAGATAAGTCTGATAACGATAAAACTGACAATAAAGATAAGTCTGATAACGATAAAACTGACGATAATGATAAGTCTGATAACGATAAAACTGACAATAAAGATAAGTCTGATAACGATAAAACTGACGATAAAGATTAGTCTGATAACGATAAAACTGACGATAAAGATGAGTCTGATAACAATAAAACTGACAATAACGATAAGTCTGATAACAATAAAACTGACAGTAAAGATAAGTCTGATAACGATAAAACTGACGATAACGATAAGTCTGATAACGATAAAACTGACGATAAAGATAAGTCTGATAACAATAAAACTGACACTAAAGATAAGTCTAATAACGATAAAACTGACGATAAAGAAAAGTCTGATAACGATAAAACTGACGATAAAGAAAAGTCTGATAACAATAAAACTGACAATAACGATAAGTCTGATAACAATAAAACTGACGATAAAGATAAGTCTGATAACGATAAAACTGACAAAAAAGATAAGTCTGATAACGATAAAACTGACGATAATGATAAGTCTGATAACGATAAAACTGACAATAAAGATAAGTCTGATAACGATAAAACTGACGATAATGATAAGTCTGATAACGATAAAACTGACAGTAAAGATAAGTCTGATAACGATAAAACTGACAATAATGATAAGTCTGATAACGATAAAACTGACAATAAAGATAAGTCTGATAACGATAAAACTGACAATAAAGATAAGTCTGATAACGATAAAACTGACGATAACGATAAGTCTGATAACGATAAAACTGACAATAAAGATAAGTCTGATAACGATAAAACTGACAATAAAGATAAGTCTGATAATGATAAAACTGACGATAATGATAAGTCTGATAACGATAAAACTGACAATAAAGATAAGTCTGATAACGATTAAACTGACGATAAAGAAAAGTCTGATAACGATAAAACTGACAATAACGATAAGTCTGATAACGATAAAACTGACAATAACGATAAGTCTGATAACGATAAAACTGACGATAAAGATAAGTCGGATAACGATAAAACTGACAATAAAGATAAGTCTGATAACGATAAAACTGACAATAAAGATAAGTCTGATAACGATAAAACTGACGATAAAGATAAGTCTGATAACGATAAAACTGACAATAATGATAAGTCTGATAACGATAAAACTGACAATAAAGATAAGTCTGATAACGATAAAACTGACAATAAAGATAAGTCTGATAACGATAAAACTGACGATAACGATAAGTCTGATAACGATAAAACTGACAATAAAGATAAGTCTGATAACGATAAAACTGACAATAAAGATAAGTCTGATAATGATAAAACTGACGATAATGATAAGTCTGATAACGATAAAACTGACAATAAAGATAAGTCTGATAACGATTAAACTGACGATAAAGAAAAGTCTGATAACGATAAAACTGACAATAACGATAAGTCTGATAACGATAAAACTGACAATAACGATAAGTCTGATAACGATAAAACTGACGATAAAGATAAGTCGGATAACGATAAAACTGACAATAAAGATAAGTCTGATAACGATAAAACTGACAATAAAGATAAGTCTGATAACGATAAAACTGACGATAAAGATAAGTCTGATAACGATAAAACTGACAATAAAGATAAGTCTGATAACAATAAAACTGACAATAACGATAAGTCTGATAACGATAAAACTGACGATAAAGATAAGTCTGATAACGATAAAACTGACAATAAAGATAAGTCTGATAATGATAAAACTGACGATAATGATAAGTCTGATAACGATAAAACTGACAATAAAGATAAGTCTGATAACGATTAAACTGACGATAAAGAAAAGTCTGATAACGATAAAACTGACAATAACGATAAGTCTGATAACGATAAAACTGACGATAAAGATAAGTCGGATAACGATAAAACTGACAATAAAGATAAGTCTGATAACGATAAAACTGACGATAAAGATAAGTCTGATAACGATAAAACTGACGATAAAGATGAGTCTGATAACAATAAAACTGACAATAATGATAAGTCTGATAATGATAAAACTGACGATAATGATAAGTCTGATAACGATAAAACTGACGATAAAGATGAGTCTGATAACCATAAATCTGACGATAAAGATAAGTCTGATAACGATAAAACTGACAATAAAGATGAGTCTGATAACCATAAATCTGACGATAAAGACAAGCCTGATAATGATAAAACTGACAATTACTCTAAATCCGACAACAATGAATTTGCTGATAACGATAAATCTGATGATAAGAATGAGTCAGAAAAAATTGATGAAAACATTAACTGTAACGATAACAAATATTCTGACAATAACGTTAAGTCTGATAACCACAAATCTGACGATAACGATAAATCTGAAAACCATAAAACTGACGATAAAGGTAAGTCTGATAACGATAAAAGTGACAATAACGATAAGTCTGATAACAATAAAACTGACAATAACGATGGGTCTGATAATGATAAAACTGACGATAAAGATGAGTCTGATAACCATAAGTCTGACGATAAAGACAAGCCTGATAACGATAAAACTAACAATTACTTTAAATCCGACAACAATGAATTTGCTGATAACGATAAATCTGACGATAAACATGAGTCTGAAAAAATTGATGAAAACATTAACTGTAATGATAACAAATATTCTGACAATAACGATGAGTCTGATAACCACAAAACTGACGATAACGATAATTCTGATAACGATGAAACTGACGATAACAATAACTCAGACAATATCCATAACTCTGATGACAAATCTGACTTTTTTTCCCTGAAAGAAAAATTCACTAGTATTGTGAACGATGAAATGCCCATTTTCCAACATGACTCAGATGGACAGGCTTTTCCAACAGCATAGGTTGGTATTTTACCCCCAACTTTTCTGTACCTACTTCGTTGTGCTTCCTAGCTTACACTCAATTCCAAAATGCATCAAAAACTGGGCAGTGCGGGCAATAATACGGCCCACCTCTACTAAAAGCTGTTACTCTAACAACTGGAGTGTTTAAAGCTGTGGATCAGCTGGATCCAACAAGTTGTTGTAACTCTAATAAATAAAGTTCTACTTCATAGTAAAGGTGACTAATAAGTCAAACACAAATGTCCATAATTTCTGTGTTTGTGTCTGAGCTGAAATTAGAATTATTTACTGGGAGCAGAGAGAAAGAGAGTGTGTGGTGTGTGTATGTCGGGGGGCTTTCTGAACAGCTGCTGCATGGTGAGTACGATGATCGCCGGCGACTCTCAAAGGTGGATTGATGAGATGCCAGTTTAATAGCTATTGATTTATCAGCCATCTCTGTGATTGTCTCTCACTGATGTTTGGAGAGAGAGAGAGAATTAAGCGAGCGAGCGAGCGAGCAGTGAGGCGAGTTAGCACGCCTGAGTGAAGCTCGAGGACACTTAAGGGACGGGGATGATTTAATAGAGGGTTTGTGTTCCATTCAACCAGCTGTCAAAACTTTTTCATCAACCTGTGGCATGCAAGGAGAGTGTGTGTGTGTGTGTGTGTGTTGGGGGGGCTGCTAGCATGGGGGCTTCATTTACTTACTGTCCAACAAGTAGCTTTTGAGTTTGTCTCTTAAGATGTCTGAATGGGTTTAGCATCAGTTGGGAGAGACATGAGGAGAGAAGAGAGTCAGGAGTTCAGTCCCACCTGCTCACAGCCGCGGAGCGTGTCGTAGCAGGGTTACTACAAATCACCTGAGCTTGATACACCTGTCAGCCGTTCTACATTCATGCTATGCTAGCAGATCCTTTTTCTTCCTCGCAGGCAACAATTTGCTCCAGAACATTCCAGCAGGGTGGGTAGGTGGGCCTGCAGAGGCTTGAGAGGAGCTAAACACGTCACATGCTAGCTTAGGATTAGCAGGTTTAGAAAATGTTAAAGTTTGGATAAAACAATGTGGGGACTGGTTTTCACAACATCCTGGCATTTAAGCCACCCCCAGAGAGCAGAACATTGAGTCATTTACATTATTAAATAGATTTCGATTCTGTCCTGTGTGTGTTAAACTGTGTGTGTTAAACTGTGTGTGTTAAAATCAAGGAAAGTGAACTGGTGTTTTTCAGCCATTTGTGTTTTTGCTGCAGAACTACGGTCACTGCAGCTTGTGAAATTCATTAAATCATCAAGAACTGATACAAGTGACTTGTTCGTTCATTCGAGAGAAGAATGGCACAAAGTCCATGATCCGCTCCACTGATTCGTCCAGCACGGCCGAGAGAAGGGATCTTGCAAAACAAAGTAAAAACTTAACACAGAAACTGTTAGGCCTCCACCAAGAGATGCTATAATTATCGAGGATTGTGCTAATATTGGGGTAGGTAAAATCAGAGCAAAACACCATCATCTGTAAACAGCAGGGGCTGCTGGGAACTCACCGTCCACATTGTAGACCTTGAGGCCAGCCAGGTGCTTGGCGGCGCGGGACTTGGAGGCAGACAGCAGTGCCGGGTTGTGGATTGGGAAGTCACTGTAGTAGTTCTCTATGATGGCTAGGGCTGCCCGCTGGATGCTAGAAGGAAACAAGAGCGTGTGTGTTTAAACCTGGGAAGCTTTGGGCCTGCGAGGCAGATTCAGCTCTAAAATCAGGAAGAAAAATTACAACAATGCATTTCACACCTCGAGTTTTACACCAAAAACGCCTCTGCAGAGGGTTCACAACCTCGCTTTTGGTGTATGCAGGACAAAGACTCCTACAAACACAAAGCAGAGCGAGTGGGGGAAGGATGGAGAGGATGTGGGACACAAACACCTGAAAGCAATACTTAAATTAATTCCTCTGTGGGAAAACCCCTCAGAGACAAAACAGCCGACATGAAGAGCCACAACATTTCTCACACATCCAGAAGAAAAGCGTCCACGTCTTCTTCTGGGGTTAAAGCTAGCTTCGTTTTAGCGTCGACAACAACACCAGACCCTTGTGATTGTTTATGTCATTAGCCGCCAGCGTGGTGGTCACGGCCGCCTGACGCGACACCGGAGAGGACAACGGCAGGAGGAGGCGTGAGCAGCTGCAGCTCAGATCCCCACAGTGGATCTGCGCGAGCCGGGACTTGTCTTTCATTACCCGGCACTATTAAACCGACCGTACACAAGTAGGATGTTTTCATGTATCACACGTCATAAATCATCAGCTACTTATAACAAACCGCCTCCGTGTTCCTGGAGGGGAGCAGAACCGCGCTACACAAGCTGCTTCACAGAATTAGCTTTAAAAAATCTGTATTTTTATGTTTGTCACAAACTGTAAAAATCTACAAAAAATGTTGAATTAATAAACTATAAACAAATAAAAGAATTAACTAATTAATTAATTAAATATTTAACACTAGAGCCTAATAATTAGATGGTAAATTCAAAAAAAAAATACTAAAAAACTTTGAGAAAAATGGGGTTTGAGAAGGTTCTATGGGGTCTATAAGGCCTTACTGAGCCTTAAATATTGCCGAAAGATAAAAAAAACTTAATTATAATAAAATTAATAGTTGACGAGGCGTTAAATCGTCTTTTGCACATGTTTGTATCATTCAACTGGCAATAGTCAGGGTAACAAGTCTGAAACTTTGTGATTGCCCACAAAAAATGTCCAAAAGCCCTACAGACCAGTGTACCGTATATAAATATACACAAAATACCCTTTCCTACATGATCCACAGACCAGTAGCAGACTTCAGCCCGATGATAGAGGAGGCTACATTTTTAACTACGGTGTTTCCTCAGGGCAGTGTTGCCATCTTAGCTACTTAGTCATTATTTCAAACAACTACCCTTAAAGAGACATTACTCCAAAGTTGAAACTGTCTGTTGACATATTTCCCAGAGTTAGATAAGTGGGGAAAAAACAAATTTTAACCTGTCCAGTCATTCTCCTGACCTGGCTGTACTCCTTTAGCTTTAGCTTAGCATTAAACACAGTAAGTGAATGGATCCAACTAGCATTGTGAGTAACAACATCCTAAAAATCCCTCAGTAGCAATCAGACTGGCTGCGAGTGAAAATAAGTAATTTATTATTAACGTAAAGGAATCACAGACGCCATTTTACACTTGGGACTACTTTATGACAACGCACAGCTGTAAGCCTCATCTGCAAGGTGCAAGTTAGCCCCAAAGACACCTGCTTCTGTAAACACAGATGCTCACGTTGTTAGTCAATCATCATAAAAAACGTGAACACACACACACACACACACACACACACACACACACACACACACACACACACACACAAAGAGAAAAAAAGAGGACACACAAAAACACAACATGACTGTGCAAGAGGATATATAAAAGTAAAATTTTTCGGAGATGAACACGGTAATGATTCATAGTGCATTTGGTGCCAACCACAGCCTTAGGTGATGTGTTGAAAATGCTCAAGTCCATACTTGTGACAGCACAATGTGAGCACCTGTGTGTGTACACGCGCTTGTATATGTAAGGTTTCTCTATAGGAGCGTCCAAAAGTGAGTGTGAGGGGCCACACATCTGCCCCCAGAGACGTGTGGAAGATGGAGGAGTTCCAAGCCCAAGAGATCCAATTGGTCTCCCCGGAGCGCAGGAACCCAAGGAGAAGCCCAGGGAAGCAGACCCCACCAGGAGTGACCCGACAGATCCCAAAAACTTCCCGCCCTCGACACGGGGGCTGTGGACATACTTGGTTTGATCCTCGCTCCCGAATAATGCTGTTGTGTCCTTGGATAAGACACACAACCCTCCTTGCCTGCTGGTAGTGGTTGGAGGGACCGGTGGTGCCGGTGGTGGGCACCTGCGGCTACATTGTAGCTCATCCTCACCAGCGTGTGAATATTGTTAACTGTTAATTGTGTTAACATGTTTACACCAAAGCAGACCGATCAGCTGATTATCAGGATTCAGACTCTGCTGTCCGTCTGGTTTGGTGATATTTTATGAATCGCATCTAACTGATTATTTTTTACAGTGTTTCAACGGTGATATGAGCGGCGCACCTGTGAAATCAAAGCCCTGAATGCAACAGCAGGTAGGACACACTATTGCATCCATCCTGTCGTGAAAGAGTCTCCATCTATAAATCCATCAGGCTTTAAGAGGCAGGAGAAACTGGATTTCAGGGAGTAACAGGAGGCAAAAGAGAACTTGCAGGTTTTTTTCTTCCTCAGAGCCGGTAAGCTCAAGAAAACCCAAAAGCTCGTCTTCTAAACTAACAGCTTTCCTGCAGCCCAGCAGCACATCTCTCCAACCTCCCATTAACTATTAAAGCCTTCATTCTCTATTCTCTGCCGAAGATTCCTCCCTGCCTCGGTCTCTCGGGTCTTTCCTCTTTCTGCAGGCGCCTTTTCCAGGAGTTTCCTCTCTGAAGTCTTCCCGTTGTTTCTCCTGGAGTGATTTCTCTCCCTATCAGCCACTTTGTTTAGGCTTTTGGTCTTCCACCTCGAGTGGTAACAATTCTCTTTTCGATCATCGCTCCCCCCCCCCCACCTTTCTTAACTTTGGTGTTTGCTTCCCTTCCAAACACCAGGCTGAAAGTGTCCCAGTTTCCTTCTGCCTTCATCTTGTTTTCTGTTTTCTCTCATTCACTCCTGATCAGCACAGTTTCCTAAGGTTTAGGTAACAGTTCTTTGCTGCATCCAGCCTCAGAAAATCCCTTTTTAAGACACCAAGCTAGATGAGAAGTCATTTGATCTGAAGATGCTTCGCTGTGTCTTTTAAAGCCGAGAACGCGCGCGTAACCGGTTGTACGGCGTAAATGTGCATTTCTTATGTGGTGAGATTCCGAGTCTGGTGAAAGGAAGGAGTTCCCAGAACCAAGAGGCGGAAATGAGCTGATTCATCAGTGGATTCGGAACCGGAACCAAGAACATAATGATGGACACCAACCAAGCTACTGAGCTCCACCCCGTCTTTCCACCGGAGCCGTCAGCAGCGCGTTACTGCAGCAGCACGTCATAGCTGCTGATAGGAACCGCTGTGGTCAACAGAACCTTTTCCACCGGAGCCGTCAGCAGCGCGAGTCGGCCGCGTCTGAGTTCTCCTGCACTATCCTATTGTATACTACTGTACACTATTTTTACTGTATATATCGTATATTTTATTTCTATTTCACCTGTTCCTTTGTCTCTCCTGCTGCTTTGAGCATGTACATGACACAACAATTTCCCTCGGGATAAATAAAGTTGTTCTTATCTTATCTTATTAGGGAAATAGCGGGTGAGCGGGGTTGATACATGATTGCGCATGCGCCGGGAGCGGTTCTGGTACTTGTTGGGTCGCAGCTGCTCGCAGCGCCGCTTCAACAGTGCGATACCCTCACGAGGGACGAGCAAAATTTCAAACACGCCAGAAGTCCGTGCGAGCTCACGGTTGCTGATCGGTAGCTGGTCACGTGGTGTTAATCGCCTCTCGTAACCCCTGTACACTACACGACGCTCAGCGCAAAACTCGCCCCGATCTTATGGATTCTCGCACGAGTGGAAAATCGGGTCAAAAAAGTGAAAAAGTCACACAGTGTACGCCCGGCTTTAGGGGTACAAGAACTAACTTCTGGGTTGCTCCTGTTTACTGGCTTCAATTCTTTAACCAACTCTGCAGCTTTTTGCCTGCTGGTGTCGGATTACAAATAGCGTAGCTGCAGCATTAGCTCGGCGCATACTTGGCGACCTCACAGATTGTAAACAGTGACAACATCCCTCTTTTGTTTTTGTTTTTTTGAAAGGAGAAAAACTGACCAACCCCCGGCCAGCTGAGAACGAAATCTGTTTTACCGTAACTTTCCTCCCAACATTATGGAGGCTGTTTTGTGAATATTTCACGGTAGAACTCTTACATGTACATGCTCTTTTAACCGTTGGTGAATGATGGATAACAACACTCCTGAGCACATCCTGAGCTCCTTCAAAGGAATCTCCTACCATCTGTATGCAGATGACATCCAACTGTACATCTCCTTTAAGCCCCATGATGTCTAAGCTGCAGCTGTTACACACCTGCTTAGACTCTATCAAAACCTGGATGGCTGGGAGCTTTCTTCAGCTGAATGAAGATAAGACTGAGATCCTCATCTGTGCCCCAGACAAGCTTGTTCCCAAAGTCAGAGACTCTCTTGGTCAGCTTGCTTCCCACACCAAACCTTCTGTCAGGAATCTTGGCGTGACCTTTGACCCAGCTCTCACCCTGGATTCTCATGTCAGTTCTCTTGTTCGCTCTTCCTTCTTCCATCTCAGGAACATTGCTAAGCTGAGTCCCATTCTGTCCCGCTCTGAACTTGAGACAGTTCTCCACACCTTCATCTCCTCACGCTTAGACTACTGTAACTCTCTTTTCACGTGTCTGAGCAGAACCTCCCTGAACCGTCTACAGGTGGTTCAGAACGCCTGTGCTCAGCTTCTGACCAAGTCCTCCAAACACACCCACATCACCCCGCTTCTCCTCCAGCTTCACTGGCTGCCAGTCAACTTCAGGGTTCATTTCAAGATCCTGGTTCTGGTCTATAGGGCCTTACATGGACAAGCACCAACTTACATTGGTGATCTTCTTAGTCCCTACACCTCCAGCAGGTCCCTGAGGTCCAGTGATCAAAGCCTACTGGTTGTGCAGCACCAGGCTAAAGACCAAAGGTGACAGATCATTTGCTGCTGTGGCCCCCAGACTCTGGAACTCTCTCCCCCTGAGCCTGAGATCAGTGGACTCAGTGGTCTCCTTCAAAAAGCAGCTGAAGACTCACTTGTTCAAGCTGGCTTTTGTATGACCTTCTTCACCTCTCTCTCTTTATTCTGCTCTCCCCACCTATTCCACCTTCCTCAGGATCCACTGATTTCCCTCTTTCCTGTTCACTCTCTCTCTTTCTTTACATTTTTTAAATCACAATTGTCTATTTTTGCTCATTTTAAATATATTTTTAAACATTTTCTAAATGCTTTTTTATCTTTTTACATTTTTTGTTTTTGTGAAGCGCCTCGTGATTTTTATCTTGAGAGGCGCTATAGAAATGATATTTTCTTCTTCTTCTTCTTCTTCATTCTGAACCATAGGCTTTTACACGTATGTAGTGAGTCCAGTGACCAGCTCCCTTATTTACTCATAATGTCGATGTAACTAAGCTAGTAGCATAACTTTCATATTAGCACAAGTTCTGACTGACTACAAATCTATATTAATTTTGTTTCCTCTGAACTTTGTACTATTATCACTTCTGTTGTTGGTCTCAGCATTGTGGCTTTTGTGTTTCATTGAACCTTCTGGGCCACGGTACTGACAGGCTGACAAAAACATTATATGAATATTCGTGGATTTAACAGTTTAATAGAATAGTTGGTAAAATTTAATAACAGAGCGCAACAATTTCAGGGTATCTGCAGGTTTAAGGGAGCCAAATTTAAGACTTTTAAAGACCTTTTTAAGGCCACTTTGACCAAATTTAAGCTGTTTTTTAAAATTAAATTTAAGCTATGATTTCCAGCTATTGCCTGGAACGTCGCGAACGTGGGATTAGCCATCCAGTTACCATTAAACTTGCACTTTCCCATGGCGCAAGCTCCCCCTAGCTTAATCAGCTAATGTGCTCTTCTAAAAATAGTCCCCTTTCACTGAATGTGTACGGTTCCGCTTACGCCAACATCGTACACAAAAAATGCTGAACACTAGAAATTCACAAATTTTTTTTAGAAATAAAAGAATCTTGTTTATTGGGTCTTTGGTAATTTAAGACCTTTGGAAATTGTATTTAAGGATTATTTGTCATTTTTAAAGATTTTTAAGGCCTTAAATTTGGAAAAGCAAATTTAAGACTTTTTACGACTTTTTAAGGACCCGCGGATACCCTGAATTTGGATATTCTCCTATTTCTTCCAACATGAACAAAAAAAAAAAAAAAACCCAAACCTTTTAAAAAACAAAAAAGATTTTTGTTTTTTATCTTCACCTGAGCTGTCCCAGATTGTAGTGCCTCGTCGTGCCGTCCGTGGAGCGCGTGACGCACACGGAGAAGCACGGCTGGAGCTGCCGGAGCTCCAGTAGGACAACGGCCAGGTAGTGGATGAAGAGCAGCGCGTCCACCAGGGACACGGCGTACTGAACGATGCCCTGGTAGTTCTCATCCTGCACAAACAAAAACATTTCAACAAAACAATCAAATCTTTTGACCTTATTGACTGTAAGAATGTGTTTAAATCGCAGAATCCTCGTGACGAGCCCTCCGGGAGGTTAAACGTGTGAGACTAGATCCGGAGCTTTTAGATATGAGGGCAGATTTTAAAGACGGAAGCCTTTTAGACCTTTAGTTGGTCTGTTTTTCTCAAACATGGTGAAAGAAGCATCAAGAGGGATTTTAAATGATAACTCACACACTTAACACACACATCACTGGGGCAGCCAGAAACTGTGCTTCGGCTGTGTTTTTCACTTAGCTTAGCTGCTCGAGGCATTGAAAATAAACATGTCTGCAGCGCTCAAGACCTCTCACTCTAGTCTCTAAAATCCCTCGTGTGTGTGTGTGTGTGTGTGTGTGTGTGGATTTGTTTTTATTTTTAGTTACTCTCCGGGCTTACAGTTATAGCTCTCGTATTTCACGCCTGGCATTAATTCTCCTCACAAACCTTAGCGTCGAGTATCCGGACACTGTAGAAGAGCCAGTAGGACACAACAAAGAGTAACACCAGCACTGCGAGCAGGACCCGGAACACAAAGACACGCGGGAGTCCCGCCCGCGCCGGTCTGAAGAAGAGCGCCCAGACGGCCAGCAGTAGGATGAGCAGCTTGAAGGCCACAGAGATGTAAAGGCCCTCGCAGGCCGTCCCGCAGCTCTGCAGCTTCTCTGGCCACAGGATGTGTGGCAGCACCAGGAAGGCCAGCGGCGTGAGGAACACCAGCAGGCCCAGGATCACAGCGATGGTCCTGGTGAGATACAGGCGACAGTTCAGCCCCACGCTGTCCTCAAGGTCCTTGGTGATGCGTACAACGTCCTCCTGAGAGAGGCTGTGCTCTGATGTGCCCGTGACGGCTGTGGTGGTCTCGCCCCAGTTGTCATCCTAAGAAGAAGAAATCAGAATGAACTTAAAAGTTTGTAACATTATCAAAACGCTAACAAGAAGTTCCAAGAAGCTGTTTGTCCACCCTAGTGAAGGTGGATGATTGACTAGAGAACCACCAGATGTGAAAATAAGGTTGTTGCTTCATAACACGTCCAATCCCATCCCACATGGCCCAAACACTGGTCCAATTAGGTTTTCTTATATGAAGCTGGGGTATATTTGTTAAGTGTGTGTGTGTGTGTGTGTGTGTGTGTGTGTGTGTGTGTGTGTGTGTGTGTGTGTGTGTGTGTGTGTGTGTGTGCTCTGTCTTCTCCATCCCCAGTGAGTCGTGGTGGATGGCTGCTTATACTGAGGCCCTGTCCACACGTAGCCGGGGATCTGCCAAAACGTAGATATTTTTCTACGTTTTGGCCTGTCATCCACACAAAAACGGAGTTTTTTCACACAAAAACGGATCTTTTTAAAAACTCCGGCCAAAGTGAAGATCTGCGTTTTCTCCGTTTTGGGTGTCTGCGTGTGGACAGACAAAACCGGAGTTTTAAGGTCCGCAACGTCACTTTCCGCGACAAAAAAATGCTGACATCACGTGTGCGACCTGTGTTTACACTAGCCGACAGCATGGATGCCCTCAGAGCTGCGCTCGCTTTATCAGTTGTCCAAGCGCTTTTTGCTTGTTTGTTTTTGCAAGCGGAATTACTGCTCCTTGCGGAAGACCACAGACGAAGGACGAGGTTAAGAACGGGGGACGTACTGCCGCCTACAGGTCTGGCATGTCCTTAACAACGTATTTATCCGGGTACGTGTGGACAGAGTTTGTTTTTAAACGAGGTGGTGTGGATGCAAGTTTTTGGAGAGGCGGATATTCGTTTTTAAAAAAACCCGGCTACGTGTGGACTAGGCCTGAGTCAGGATCCTCTGGAGGTTTCTTCCTGTTAAAAGGGAGTTTTCCTCTCCACTGTCGCTGCATGCTTGCTTAGTATGATTGCTGTAAAGACTCTGACACTAGTCAGTGACTCGATGCAACCTGCTGGGTTCCTTATATAGGAAACTTTTTACTGATAGGTTAATGAACTGACCTGAACTGGAATGTTTACTTTGTGAAGTGTCTTGAGACGACTCTTGTCGTGATTTGGCGCAAAAGAAATAATCTGAGTTGAACTGAAATGAGTGCGTCACGTTATTTGATGTCCAAAGGCTCATGAAGACTGAAAAACAACTATAGACCCCGCCCCTACGACTGAGCTCTGTCTATAGGTCCTTTCTGCGTGGAGTTGCATGTTCTCCCCATGCATGCGTGGGTTTTCTCCGGGTACTCCGGTTTCCCCCACAGATCACAACATGCCCTATAGGTTAAAAAAAATTGTAAGTCGCTTTGGGTAAAAGCGTCTGCTAAGCACATAAACATAAACATAAACATGATGGTCAGACTTATAAAGGATCTCTTGCCAGGCTAGGAACGTATTGCACTTAAGATTTTTTAGAAAATTCTTTGGCGGGGACAACCGTGGTTTATAATACACTTGAGAATGGAAAAACAAACAAACAAAAAGTGCTTCACACATAAACAAATTTCCATTTAGATGTATTGATGGTCTGGGGGTGGAGCCAGGGTTAGACACAAAAATGGCGGGAGTGACAAAAACAGACTGCAGGAGCTGGATTATAAAATGGTCTTGTGCGGGGTTATAGGTACACTTCTGTTGAGACAAAGGCCCTACACATGTCTCTGCAGACCGGCTGACTAGTTAAATGAAAAGAAGACAGAAAATTCTAATACATACAAAAGTTAAATACTTGGGAAATTTTAAACAAATGTGGTTCCTATCAATTATATTAAAATGTAATCATCCATGCTTTAAGACTTTCTTTTATTCAGAAAATTTTCTTGAAACGGATTCAAGGCAGGTTGTTTCCAAGCTTGAGAGAAAGAAAAGGAAGTGGAAACGGTAAACGGAGCTCATGTTTGGGTCTGACTGCATCCGCAGATAAAAAGCGTCAGCAGTGTCGGAGCAGTGTTATAAAAACAAAGATAAGGACTTTATGTGGTATTCACAACAGTGTTAATGTGGCCCTGAGAGCCACCAACAAAAGGCAGGAAAACGACGACGATCTGAATCTGAAACAACACGTGTGAGTGAAACAGAAGATAATACCAGTTAGATGAGCTGATGCATCGCAACCCCTCAGAGCTGAGGGGGGTTGGGAGGAGGAGGAGGAGGATGGTCCGTCTGGCCTCAGGGTCACAGCAGAACAATGGAAGTATGATGAGAGCAACAGAACCCCAAAGAATAGACTCTACATCACCAGAATCAGCTTTAGTCCTCGACTCTTATCCACCAAACCAGATGAAACTTCAACAATCTTTCGTGGCTCCATTTACCCGTGACTGGGTTCTATAAAAGATTATGCCAACTTCACACTTTTGCTCTAGGTTTGTTTCTCTCCGGTTACGTATCGATGAGCTCATCAGAGGCAGGATGGTGGTTTGGTGTCTCAGTGATGAAAACAGTTTTCAGCTTTTTTCTTTTGATCACAAACAAAGTCAGAGTCGTTTATGGGAATGGTTTTAACTTACTAACACTACGAACGCTCAATGTATTTACATTTGGATGTGTTTTTCGACAACACCTATAGTTAGTGGTACACGCTAATTAGTAAGGTTCACATTTATGCAACCAATGGTTAATAAAAAATTGTTTTTTTTCCCATTCTTGCTGTTGCTGGCTCTTGTTCTCCGATTGAGTAATATCACTTGATCAAGCCCTTCATACATTCCACAATATAATCGGTACAAGTATATTTGACTTGTGCTGGTATCGTATCGGATGGATATCGATCAATACTAAAGGCTGCAATATCTGTATCATATCGGAAGTAAAGACGTTGTGTCACGGCTGCCAGCCTTGAGGGAAGAGCAGGAGCCAGGATCACCCAGCCCTGGTGATCAGCCTGACACCGCCCCTCATCCTCCTCTCTCCCAGGCTGCTGAGGAGCACAGCTGAGCTGCATCTGGTTGATTGCCAACACCTGCATAAAAAGGCCGTGCCTTCAGCAGTCTGGGAGGCAGCAGTGCAGGGGTTCTGCTGTCCTCCTGGTTTTTGGTTTGGATTCAACCCCTTTCGTTTAGATTCATGTGGATGAGTTTTAAACTTTGGTTTGGTTTTTAACTCTTAGTAAGAAGTTTTTGGATGATCCAGTGGGATCTTTTTTGCAGTTTGGTTTTAAGGTTAACTTTGTTTGTGGTAATTTTACTGACCTCGATTTTAAACACCTTCGTTGTGGTAAAGCGTTGTAAAGTAAGTTTTCACCAGGTGTTTTAGTCAGTATATTGTTTTGGAACTCGGGATTTTAAAACACCTTCTGTTCGGTTAAGCTTTTAACAAAGTTCTAACCAGGTGTTTTTACGGTTGATAATTTGTTGTGACGTTAACCTTTTACAGAGATCTGTTTGCACGTTTTTAGAACCTTTTTGTTACAATAAAACCATTTTAATATCCACTGTCCAGTCTTATGTTACCCCCATCCTTCACTTTTAACAACACCTGTCGGGGACGTAACACGTTGTATCCGGACATCCCTGACGCCAATCAAGCTCAAGCCACAAAAAAAGATTTTTGAATAAAACACTCAAAGTTTGGGTGAATACATCTTATAATAAAACGCTGATAGTAAAAAAAATCTAAAGTGAAGGCAGAATGTACATTTTAATTATAATCATTATTGTAATTTTTCCCCCGCCTGTGCTCACATAACATTTTGGATAATCATGCCAATATGATGCATTTTTTCTCTTATTAAGGTTTAAAGGGTGTGGCGTTTTTATTTACACCTTTTAGTATTTTACGTTGAAAGATTGAGTTTCTCTTTCGGGCGCTAAATAATAAACAAAAGAATGTTTCTTTGGGTTACGTGTCAACTTTGGTGATTATTGAATGATTTAGTTGTTAATTTAGTTATTTGGAGTTTTGTAAATATCACACTGACAGTACTTTCCACAGTACAAATCAAAAATAAACATCGAAAACACCTGGTAGGCTCAACGCACTGGTGCGGGACGACACCTGGCCCTTCGCGGGAGCCTTGATGATGATGATGATCTATGTATAGAACTTGTGGAGAATCATTCAAAGCTGCCGACGTGTTAACTATTGACTTGTTAGTGTGGTTTCCACCAACAGGCCCTTTGATCAAGTCCAACACTGTAATCCACCCAGGCCTTTCTGACCTTTGACACCAGGCTGTAAATATTCATGTCACCATCTGCGTTTCTCCGGACAGAGCCAAACGTCTCCACTGATCAGTCTCACGAGGACTAAATTAGACTTTGGAATGCAGGTTCAAAGTGTCGGAGAGCACGTGTCGCCACATTCCTGTGAACTAAAGGACATCGGACATTTTAAGGGCGGTCAAAGTGTTAGTTATTCATGGAAGCAAACAATCCTGAACAAGCTTTTATAGAAGAAAAATAACTCAAAAGTGGGAATGATTTAGCAGATGTAAAGAGATTAATTGTACCTGACGAAGCACAGGGAACAACTTATTAAGAAATGCATAAATAATTTGTGCTTCAGTCCAGTCAAATGAAGTGGAGGCTGTTTGTGGAGCCAAACAAAGAAAGCCTCTTCGGTAATAATGAGAGAAAGAGACTGAAGAGCCCTCGGCTTCTCCACAGAGAGGTCTGCCACAGGCGTTCTATGTGCATGAAGCAATTATCCCCTACGGAGATCTTAAGTAAGCAACGCCTCATTATGTTCTGCTTGTGCTAGTAGAGTTAAACACTCCACAAAACAAAGTGATTCAAGGGCTGAACCGGGTGTGGCAAAATATTATCGTTCTCCTTCTTGCAAGTTCGCACTGCCACCAAAATGCTCAGCTGTAGATACTTCACGACTCCTAGAGAGGGCGCTGAACACACAAATGCAGGAAAAAGTTAACCAACTGGAAAGGACGTACATGCAACAGCAAATCTGCTTTTCTTGTTGGGACTCTGGTGGTTT